TACAGCGATGTGGCGCGCGGGCTCGGCGGAGAAGAGCAGGAGCAGGAAAGAGGGCGCCCGGGGAGCTTGTTGAGAAATGAGTGGGGGGGGGGGAAGGGAAGGGATTGAGAAAGAGCGCTGGCGGCGCCCCAGGCAAGGGGGGATCTCGGCGGCCCTTCACACTGTCTACCACCCCCTGGTCCCCCCAGTCGAGAAGTCCTCCGGCACACCGGGGGGGGGGGGGGGGGGGCTCAAATGCCCCGCGTACACCCCCTGGCACCTCATTCGACCCCCGCCCCCTTCCCCGCGCCCGGGGGGGGGGGGTGAGGAGACAGGGCTCGGCCCCTCGGGACGACGGAGACAACAAGGGGCTGCTCCTCGGGCTGAAAGGGGGGGGGGGGGGGGGGGGCGGCATGTGGCTTCTTCTTTTTCTCTCTCTCTCTCTCTCTCTCTTTGTCTCTCGCTCGCTCACCCATCCGCTCTTTGGCCGCCCCCCTCCCCCCGGCCCATTGTTTGTTCATCATGCCGGGGCAGGGTTCGGGCTGCCGGCCCGAGCTCGGGCTGGGCCAGAGTCCTTGGGCCATCGACTGGGCATCAACTGCTCGGCGAGGGCGTCGGCCGCGCCCAGCTCTCCCCGGCACCTCCGCCCCTGGTAGGTCGATTGCGCTGGCAGCCCCCTGGGCAACAGAATGACAACTCTGCCATCAACCACGACAGTGGCCCTGGTGCTCTCCCCCTGCGTGTGCACATTCCTCCGCCAGCCAGGCAAGCGCCCTGGCAGCAGGAGGGGCGGGAACGAGGCAGCAGACAAAGATCCAGCGGCAGCAGGTCGGCGAACCCTCGCAAGATGCCTCGTATTCTCACGCCAATTAATGCGTACTCCTCGGTCTGTACAGATGGATGATGGCGAGATCGCCACGGAGAGAGCAGGGCAGGGGGGGCCGGCGGGAGACGAGAACGACCGACATTTGGAAGGGCCCAGCAATGGCCAAGTCTATTTGGGCCGACGTAGCCCCGATACCGATGCTCCGCCCCGCCGTCCCGGACCTACGAACTCGCCACACCCGCACGCCCGCACACCCGCACACATCTCCACATGCATGCACCCGGATCAAGTCCACGGGCCAGTCGCGCGGCGGCCCGCTGGTCCGCCCCCCCCCCCCCATCCCTTCCCCCCTTGTTCCCTGTGTTGCAAAGACGAAGGAAGCGCCCCGCGGCCGGGGTGCACAAGGAGCCGGGGCCAGGCAGGCCAGGTACATTCCACTGTGTTGTGTCGCGTGATCCACCTCGTGGAGCTCTACGTCCAGCCGGTTTGTCACGCCCTTATGCGTAGGTGCCAGCGGATCAGTCCTCCTTCTGGGCGGCCGGGCGGCTGTTCCAGTAATAAATCATCTGCGCGGCCAGGGTGCCATTCACCAGGAGGCTCAGGGCAAAGCCGAGGAGGATGATCGGGTCGTTGGCCTCCTGCGAGTGGGTAGGCACGGAACAAGGGCGAGTGAGTCGTTGCGCGCGCGCGCGCGTGTGTGTGTGTGTGTGTGTGTGTGAAAGGGGGAGAGGCAAGGGGAAGGCAGAGAGAGAGAGAGAGAAAAAAAAACCCGACAGACACACGAACAAACACAGTGTGACGATGGGAGTGAGGGGAACGAGCCGGGGAAGCCCCACGCACCTTGAGCGTGGTGAAGATACGCGCCAGAGGACCAATGCAGAAGGCAAACACACCAATGGCCGACAGGTCGCCGGTGTGCCCATTCCGGAAGTTGCTGATGATCTGCGGCAGGCGACTCAGGAGGAGAACAGGGATGGTGGCGCTCTGTTCATCGGGGGGAGGCCCAGGAAAAGGAGGGACAGGGGGGAGCCAAATTGGAAGGCGATGGATGTGAGCACGACAGGCGAAGATGGCGATGGGCAAGCGGCGGGGCGTTGTGCGCATATGGCCGGCTGCAAGTCGCACCTGCATCAGCTTCAGCATGTCACCGGTGGCAAAGAACATGAAGGCGCCCCACAGACCCAGGAGCACCGGCGAAAGGGCCAGCAAACCAAGGCGATTGGACAGGGCCAGAACCAGGAAGATGAGGGAGATATCCTGCACGGCAATCAGAGCGGTCTCGCCGTAGCTGGAGAAGGCAAACCCACGACGGTAGCTGTAGGTGATGGAGATGGAGTAGCACACCAGCTCCATGACCAAAGACATGAGCGAGAGCCCGGCCGCGCGCCGGTTCTTCAGGATAATGAGGATTTGCGGGACCTTGATGATGGCCCCAGACAGGAGCATGGCATAGGAGAGGCACTTGCTCAGCATGAGCGACAGGCAGACCGGGTCGGCTGCCGTGGGCGGGCAGGGGAGGGAGGGAGCGCGAGCCGACGGTGTCAGTTTCACAGGACCCAGCTCGGAGGAAGAAGCGGCACAAGAACAGCCGGGACAGTCGAGCGCGACGTACTGAAGTCGCGCTTAAGGAGGAAAACCCGAGTGCACTCCTCGCTGCCGAGGAGCATCTCAAAGAGGGCCACCCCAGCTGGGGGGAGCAGGTGGCCAACGGCGTGAATCCCGTCACTCATGACTGACGGCTCGACGGGGAAAAGGAGGCAGCCCCGAGACAAGCGGGGGAGGAGGCAAAAGCACAGACGGGCGGGAGGGCGGGCGACCGAGCGATGGGTGTGGCGGGAAGGCGCTCGCCCCGGCGAAAGGCGTTGCCCTCGCATTTGTGAGGACCCGCACATGCGTCCAGGGTAGCGACATCCAGACATAGCCCCCGCCCCCCTCCCCTCCTCCAGCGCGGGATGGCCGCCAGCGCAAGGCCCCTTGGCAAAGTTTCCCCACAGTCGGACGAATGCGTTGGCACTGTGGGGCTTTGCGATCCGCTCCGGATGGGGTGATTCCCCCCGGCGTGATGCTGTCCCCTGGCTACGCTCAATTTCTCCTGCCTGAAACAACAGCGTCCCCCGCCCTCCGAGGATTAAAAAAAAAGACCGGCCAAGCATGTGGAGGCAGGGGGGGGGGGGGGGGCAAGATGCTCGCCCAGCGTCTCCCCGGCCTGGGGCTGCGGAGACCACCTTGCAGGCACACGCCCTCGTCGCGCAGCGGGCGGACCGAGAGACAGCGATACGTCTCTGGCCCCGCCGCGGACCGAGGGGATGCTCCTGTCGAATCCCGGTGCTCCCTCGCG